CTAGGTAGATCATTATTAAAACCATCAGAGTATATTCAGTGGACTATGTGGTATTATGACCTTGCTGCCTCACAAGCTAGGGATAATGTTGCTTCTAATGATGCATAAATTAGAGCTATTACTTATCCTATGCTAACAGGAACAGGAGCTTATGATTTGCCTGCACAACAGGCTAATGCAACTAAGGCTATACATGCTCAACTTCAGGAGATCTGTCTTGAAGCTTGGGATCGTATACAACCTGAGGGACAAAAGCATGGCCCTTGGCTTAAAATTATTCAAGGATCTCAGGAGCTGTATGTAGAATTTTTGGCTCGCCTTCAAAAGGCTTTGGAACGCTCTGTGCCTGGGGTTGTTGCTCAAGAAGCAATAGTAAAGGTTATGGCTTATGAAAATGCAAATGAGAATTGCCAAAGAGCTATTTTACCTATAAAATAGACAGGTGACATTATGGGATATGCTTGAGCCTGTCGTAATGTTCAGTCTGAAACTAGAAAGATGCAAGTTTTTGCTCAAACTTTGGCAGCGTCTATAAATCCTCAAAAGGGGACAGTTAAATCGAAAGTAAAATGTTTCAGTTGTGGTACTGAGGGACATATGAAACGGCAGTGCCCTAAGGTATCGTCTCGACCACCAGATATATGTTCCTGCTGTCGTCGTGGTATGCATTGGGCTCAAGTCTGTAGATCTAAGACAGATATTGATGGAAATATTATAAGAATAAGAAATACTAAGTTTATGCCAACCCCCTCACAAACGATCTGGGGCAGCTAGCCATCTTTCCTCAACCTTGTAGTGTAGCCATGGACCTTCCCTTAGCTATAACTGTAACAATAGCACCCTCTAATGTTGTCTTACAGAATGTCTATGCTACAATGTCAGGGATAGATTAAAAGTAGAGTATTATGGTGTTGTCTCTTTGCATTTTCTTTTAAGTACCATTGTTTTCTGTGTTTCTTACTCCCCAGGTCATGGGTACTTAATCCAAATTCATGTAATAAAATGTTTTTTCTAATCCAGATTGATAGCCCTTTTCAAAGAGATTCACCATATGAGTAAAACTTTTAGGTTAAAGAAAAACAAGTGCCTTTTTGTATTATTTATCTTGGTAAATTGTCACGTGCTGTTTGAGCTCACCGAGATGCTGACTCTGGAGATGGGATAGGATCCTCCCACTTCAGACTCAAGCCTATTATCTCAAAATATATTCTCCAAGATTTATTCCAGGTTCAGGCTGGCCCCCTGAGCCTGTGAAAAGAAAAGGGAACAGCAAAACAGCCTAAGACTAAAGGCGCTGTACAATTAAAACAGTTAAGATGTAAACTTTATTTGGTAGTTCTATTATGAAGTCTCTGTATATGGTGTAAATATATGGTGGAGGTTTAGATATTGGGAGGTTTAAATACTGTATGGTTTAAATACTGGCTGGCATTGTTTAAACATGGGGCAACGGTTGCCATGGTTTGTATACTGAATGGTTTAAATGCTGTTTTTAGTTTAAATATTGGATGTTTTGACCCACCGGCTCCAATTGATTTAAATAATGTCATATATATCTCCTATAAAGATACAATGGTACTCTTCTCAGTCAGTAGCTTAATGATTTGTTTGGATATTTATAGTATTTGCATGTTACCATAGATACTTATTCTAACTTTTTTTGGGCTACTCCTCTATTTGGAGAAATTACTAATCATAGTATTGAACATTTGTTAGCTTGCTTTGTTGTCATGAGAATTTTAGTACTATTAAAACAGAAAATGCTCCTGCTTAATACTAGAAGGCAATTTAGTAATTTCTGAAATTGCATAAAATTAATCTCCTTACTGGAATAGACTATAACCTAGGATAAGCTATAATAGAATGTACTTGTGGATATATTAAAATGCATATTAAAAAATTAAAAGGAAGGAATTATACACAAGATTAAAGAAACTTAGAACTTTAGGATATAAGAATCACAAATTATTATTGATCAAAGATTTTATTATTAATGGTTTTGTTTATTTTTGTAGATTATTAATTTAGGACTTCTATGAGATTTTGTTTATTATTGATTTTTTAGATCCTGTTCATTATTTATTTGAAGTTTTATCTCATGCAGATAAGTATCTTTTACAGGAATCATCACTTCTGCCTGACCCAGTGAATGTCTGGATTAAGTCAGGAGAATTCCAAGATTGGGTACTAGGAAAGCTACTAACACCGGGCAAAGGGTATGGTTTTGTTTCTATAGGAAGTGGAGTCTCTTCCTGGCAATGGATCTGTTTTGCCGCATTATTGCTGACCAGTTAATGTCGACATTATCAGAGAAAGTTATCATCTCCTACTTGGGGTCAGTTGAAAGCCTTGACTTACAAGGCTCGATCTGTGGTTAATCAATCAGGAAAGGGGCTTTCTCCAGAAAATCTGTTCTTAGCCATGTGTGCCTTGATTACTTGCACCTCTGCTGCTGCAACTGAGGTAATATATTGGGCTCATGTACCTAATCCCCCTCTCCTTCGTCCCTGTACTTGGAAGGAACTTACTATAGTGGTTACAAGTTTTCCTATGAATGTATTGTCACCCCCTTATGGAACAGGTCAGCCAGATTTTCCTAATGAAGAAGGAACTGTTTTTAATTATACTCAATTTATGTCTTCTGATATTATGTGCTTTGGAGCTCCTCCTTGTTTTCCTATTAGACAGCAGAGTTGGATTGTTCCAGGAGGTGTCTGGAGTAATCGTCAATGGGACATGGTACATCTCTCTGCTCAGTCTATAGGTCCTAACTGGACAGAATATGAGGACACGGGTGCCCCGGCAATCTCAGAATGTGAAAGTTTTTCCTATGAAAGACAACCTTTAATATGACAAGATTGTAGGGTTGAAGGGAAAGGTTTATAGGTTTCAAAATCATACTTGGATTGATTGGGGTCCTTTAGGAAGTTGATTAGAAGAATGTAGGGATTGTAGGGAGTTTACCTCAAAGTGTAATCTAAAAAATATCACTGACCATCTCTCAGCACCACAGTATGTGCATATATAGCTAATCCTCATAATATAGCTAATCCTCAACCTCAAATGAGAATAGGACATACATTATATCCTCCTCAACTACATATTTGGAAATTGTTAGCTGCTCTTAAGCCTGTGGAAATTTTTGATGGCACTTGTGCTACTACTTATGACAAGGTATTTTATGACTTTACTAAAGTTAAAAATTATAATATTACAGCTTGTGTACATTTTCCTCTAGTAATATTGATAGGACACATAGTTATATAAGAGATGAATTTAACTTGTCAAAACTGTTATTTATATACTTGCCTTAATAACTCTGTATTGTTTAATCAATCTTTTGAATCAGTCATGATTTTAACTCAATGAAATTCTTTATGGATTCCTGTGAAAATGCATCATTCCTGGGAAGCAGTCCTATTCAGGGACTAATTATGCAATTTTTCAAAAGATTGTTATGGCAAAGCAAACATATGATTGGCTTGATTAACAACACTATTTTGGGGGAAATTACAAAAAACTATGCAATATGTATGTGATTGAAATTCTTCTCAAATTTTTATTACCCTACATAAATATAATAATTCTAAATATGAAATATAGAATATAGAATTGTATATTCAAGGCAAGATGGATAATGTAACTTTCAATGAGATACAATTACAAGAAGAGATATATGAGGCATTTTCAGAAGAAATGCCTTCTACAAGTTCTATTGCTCAAGTAGCTACTACTTTAGTGAATACCCTTTCTGGTCTTGATCCTCGAGGATGGTGGCAAAGTTTGTCACATAGTCTTGGATCTTCAGCTGTTACTATATTCAAGGCAAGATGGATAATGTAACTTTCAATGAGATACAATTACAAGAAGAGATATATGAGGCATTTTCAGAAGAAATGCCTTCTACAAGTTCTATTGCTCAAGTAGCTACTACTTTAGTGAATACCCTTTCTGGTCTTGATCCTCGAGGATGGTGGCAAAGTTTGTCACATAGTCTTGGATCTTCAGCTGTTACTTTTATAGTACTTTTATGCTTATTGTTTTTTTAGAATATCGATGTGTTCTTGGAATCATGACTCGCATTACTAATAAGCAATCTGCTGAAACTAGTTACTGCTTTGCATTATCACAATGAGAAAACGAAGGCTGAAAATAATAGGGAATCACTTCCATTGTGAATGGCTTAGTAGGATTTAGCATGCTTTTCCTCCTATGTTAATGAAATCCTTGTGGCAAATCAAGGCAACTGTACATGATATGAGATTGTGCTCCCTTCCCTAACGAAGGCCAGTAGTCAAGAACGGTTAAGATCCTCTGAGAAAAAGCTGACCTAAGACAGGGTGTAGCTGATGGAAGCTGCATGCCAATGATGGGTAAGGCTTTGCTCTAGCAGAAGACAACCTAAGACAGGCACGGTCCTTCTGTCCTGGATATAGCATGATCTGGGGTTATAAAAAATAAAGAAAGGGGAATCCTGAAGGTCTGAGCTCTGATCTGAAATCAACTCAGAGCTCAAATTGGAGGCCTCAGTTCCCTGGGAACCTGAATGTTCTTGATCTGAAGTTATTCTTATCATGATACTGTGCCTTGAACCCTATTAAAGGTACATAAGTAAGCTTGTATAATAAAGCTACAAAGATAGGTAAGATCCCAAAAAGGGCTGAGCCCTGGGAACTTGAAGATATTGTAAAGGTCAGGAAGGTACTGCAAATGTCAGAATGAGATAATTTGGCTTGAGAAGAACATTTCTCTTCCTCTTGTTTTACTATAAATAAGCTTGCTTCTTAGAATAAAGCATGCATTGGTTCACACTCCATTGCATCCCCTGCATCCTGATTTCTCCTGCACCTAAAACTCGGAGTCCTCAAGCCTATCAGGCTTGAATTGTGGTCACTGAACCATGACAACACTGTCTGCAGGAAAATATTTTACTTTACATTAATCATAAAACTTGCAATTGTTTGACTATTACATATACTAAGAACATTAAAAAACAAACATGTAATTAACAAAAGTGTGTTTATTTCCATATATGCTTATGAAATTTTTCTTGCTACAATTTTATGTAAAGCTAGGCTAAAAGATTTCTCCAAGACACTTCTCAGATAACATGTTTACTCTTCAGAGATGAAATCTCCTTGGTCATTATTTAACAGTCAAATAGCTATTGGCAATGTAATTGGGCAAAATATTGATGACATTTGATCATGGTAAACCTCAACCTCATGACCCCACAGTTCTGGAAGGAGAAGCACATATCACACAAAAAATATTTCTGATTAGGAACATCATGGCAAACACTCATTCACTTTAAAAGAGTATTACCTGTAGTTTCAGGAAGAGTTTAAACAAGTTTGTGGATTAAAAGGATAGGGTCAAACATTTAAATGAGCATGGAGGCCAACAAATTAGCTAATGTGCAGCCCTACTTCTCTTTCTCTAACTCTAGCTGCAGGGTGATAAGTTAAAGGAAATTTGTGGTTTAAAATCCCATGTATATGTTTAAATCATGATAGAAAATAAATTAAGGGCTCATTGCTTCAGAAAGAATCCATTATACATTTCAGATAGGCATCTCACTAGTACATTTTTAATATGATTCAACATCAAAGTAAACACATTGCAATGGTACTTTCATTAGAGAAAAAATGTGGGTGCGGGGGATATAGCTCAGTGGTAGTACACATGCCTAGCATATAAAAGGCCTTGGGTTTGATCCTCAGTGCTGAGGAAAAAAGTTGATGGCACTAGCTGTGAGTGCCATCTTCAGAACTTATGGCACACTCTATGAAGGTGTTTTGATGACAAAATTAATCTTTCGTGAATAGATTATGGGTAAAGTTAGGGAAAAAAACCACAACCATTTCTTATAACACTGTGGCATATTAAAACTTCTCTGGCTCTGTGAACATTAGTTAAATAGGATGATAAAGAAAGTGGTATCATTTTTATTGAAAAAAATTCAAGATATGTTCTTGTGTGTCTTTTAAATGTAATACATTTATATTTTGCATCCATTAGTCTGCCTGTATATAATTATGTCTACAGCATGGTATATGTAGAGTATTAACATTGGGATAATTCCCAAGAAAAAAAAATAATGTGGTAACATCTGTACTATATCAACCTAAACTTACCTCAGCTAGTTCTGCAAAGTCAAAAAAAAAGATGTTACAGTCAAAGAAATGCAATGACAAAGGGAAGAAAGACCCAATAAGCAGATCTGTTAAACCCAGTTCTGGATCATGAGAAAATTCTATTTCTGAAAGTCTAAGCCATTAGAACTCAAGATTTAATTTACATTTTTTAAAAAGAAGAGTCAATTATTTGTGGGAACTGTAATATTTTTACTATTTCAAAGCTATCTGGAATGACTAAAACTTCACTGTACTTTATTTATGAATGTAAACCCACTAAATCAAATGCTATTTCCAAGTCTACACTTTACAAGTGTTTCTCCTACTTAGGTCCTGGCAAGTGCCAGTGCCCTATTCTTGCCCTAGTCCTATCATAACCAGGCTAGTCTCTAAAATGTATAGAAAATGAACTCACCAGGCATGGCGGCACACACCTTTAATCCCAGCACTCAGAGGCAGAAGCAAGCAGATCTCTATGATTTCAAGGCCATTCTGGTCTACATAGCAATATCCATGGTAGCTGAGTTTACAGGGAGACATGGTCTCAAAAAACAAACAAACAAACAAAAAAACCCCTCAAAACTTCATTGATTCCTGAAAGCTGATGAGACATTTAAGCAGAACACCAAAATTCTTTGCAAATGCCTTCTTTGAGAACAGTTATTTCCAACCTGCATCAGGTGACAAGTCCTTTAGATATGGGGGGAAGAATGATAAAAAAGGGCTGAGAATTTCTCAAGGTCATCTGGGAAGGCTATTTTGTGGTTTATTCCTCTGTATCCCAGAATCAACCAGCATTATTGGTGTACTAGAAGCTGATTAGCAGTGTAACCAATATAATTTTTAAATACACCATACAGAACCCTCAACTTTAATACTCCCCAGATTATAACAATACCAGTTCAGCTACAAGTCTTCCCCAAAGTTGAGCTGTCCCGTTCATCTCTTCACTTAGTTTCAAAGAGCAGGAAGCCTGCAAAGGTGGAGAAGCGCTGGTGGTCTCCATGGAGGGCACCATTGCCCATTCTTAGCCAGACCTCATCCCCTTTGGCCAGCTTCAGCACTGCATGGTTGCTGGATGTATCTGATTTCCCCTTTGTTTCATAGCTGGAAAGAAAAGGAGGCATAAACTACATCATCTTTGCTATGCACAGCCACACCTTGAGCAGATTCTCTCTGTTATCCATTTAGTTAAGGTCATTTGGAAAGGTCTTTAAATGGAATGTGAGCAGAAATGGCACACACCACCTTAGAACTGCCCAACAGAGCATTCCTCCTATTCCTTGTCCCCTTGTCTGTGAAATATTCATGACAATGACAGTAAGTGCCACGAAAGCAATATGTAGAAGTGTAATTTCTTTTTTAAAATTTGAATTATTTATTTTATGTGTATGAGTGCTATGTCTGCATATGTGTAAGTGCACCTGTGTCGTGCAGCACTCTCGGAGGACAGAAAAGGATGTCAGATCCCCCGGAACTGGAGTACAGACAGTTGTTAGCCACTATGTGGGTGCTGGGATTTGAAACCAGGTCCTCTACAAGAACAGCCAGTGCTCTTAACCGCTGAGTCATCTTTCCAGCCCCAAAGTCTAGGTTCTTAAAGACCACTACATAGAAAAGATCTTTCTTCACCAGCCTGAATTGGAAAGTACATACCTTGTCTAATTTTCCTGGATTCTTAGATGAGAAAGAAGGAAAGTTCTGATCTTTGAGTTTCAACATTTTCTTTGTTACAATAGTTTGTCTTCCCCTAGCCAATCTATAATTTGGTACTCAAGGAGAATACTGTCCACAAACCAGATGAAAACATGTTATATTTGCTCATGGTCAGGCAGGGAGCAATGTGAAAACAAATATTGTGAGCTGGAAAGACAAAGAACCACATTATATTTGGGGGAAAATGTAGGCACACAGACCTGGTACCCATACAGTAAGTAAGAGAAAGGATTGAAAAGAGGCAAGTACTCTTTGCAGCTTTTAGAAGATGTCTCTATAAAAGATGAGCTCAAAGAAGAACTGATGTATTTGAGAGATGAGGAAATAGAGTCTAGAGAATAAGGGCCTTAGCAAGGTTGGAAAAAAACAAGCCAAGAGCAGGAACAAAGTAGATGTTTTCCCATTAGGAATGTTCACTGAGGCAGTCACAACTGTATAACCTCATGAATTGAAAATGCCGTTTTAAACCAAACCTACTGTTTTTGTTTTAATTTTATTTATTTTAAAAATGTTTTATTTATTATTTTTATTTGATGTGTATGCTTGTATTGCCTGCATGTAGGTAAGTGCACTTGTGTCATGCAATACCCACAGAGGACAGAAGAGGCTATTGGAGCCCCTGGAACTGAAATTATGAACAGTTGTTAACTGCCATGTGGGTGATGGGGTTCGAACCCAGGTCTTCTGCAAGAACAGCCAGTGTTCTTAACCACTTAGCCATCTCTCCAGCCCTATTATTTTTATTTTATTTGTATGAGTGTATTGCTTGCCTGTATGTAAGTGCACCCATGCCATGCAATGCCCACAGAGGTCAGAAGAGAGCATCAGATTCCCCTGGAAGTAGAGTTACAGATGGTTGTTAACCGCCATGTGGTACTGGGGATCAAACCTGTGTCCTCTGCAAGAACAGCCAGTGGTCTTAACTGCTGAGCTATCTCTCCAGCCCCCAAGATCTACTGTTTTAAAAGGCCATTACATTGACAGAAAAGTAGATGAGAAAGGATTCAAATGAATAACAAGCTGAAAACTGTCAAGAAAAGTGTAATCAGTGTGATTCATAATACCTGTAGCTGATTAGTAGCAAATGGAGCAAAAGCCTTGTATGTGTGTAAGGAAACAATATTGCCAAAGTCCCAGGCTACACTTGAAAATGCTTGGGATATTATATTTAACTCTCAGATTTGCAACAGCAGGAAATGGAATATGAAAGAGCCCTAAGAAGTACCTATGTAGCTTTTGGATGTGGTCACAAAGAAAAAATAGACAAAGGAGACCTTCCCAAAGAATACATTCAGAGACCAAAGAGAAAACCAGGTTGTAGGAGGGGGTCCGTGGGTATCTGCCAGACACTGGACCTGGAGACCTTTGCACAGGTGCGCCATTCTTCTGCAGCCAACTCCCTCAAACTGCTAACCTGATATCTGCCACACTGGCTAGAGACAGATGACACCAATGGACAATAAACAGCTCAGCCTTCAGGGCCAATAGGGGAGGTTCGGGGGTATAAAGAAAAGCCCTTTGTATGCAATAAACTAGCTTGCTTGCTTACTGCACAGTGAGTCTCCCAGAGTCTGTGTCGTTGACTTTGTGCCTACTTTCCCCCTGCCCTGGCCAGGTAATCCCGAGACACCCAGAGGGCTAGCCAACCCCTGAACCGTACAGCAACACCAGGTAAGGGACTGATTTACGGAAAGGACCATTCATCTCTGGGTTCTGGGTTGAATTTGATTTAAGCTCTATCGTATAGGGGCAGAGACAGAAAGATGCATGTCCTATGTGAAAGAAGAAGAGCTGGATGGATATTTGGAAATCAGAGGGTCAGAGAAGGCTGGCTATTAACCAAAATTCATTCTCTCCTTGTTACGATTTGGATGTTAAATGTCTCCCAAAGGCATGTCTTTGAGCATGTGGACCCCAACTGGTGGCACTGTTTTGGGAAGTTGTAGAATCCTTAGAAGGTGAAGTTCAACTAGAGAAAGTAATTTACTAAGGGTAGCCCCTTGGGTGTATTTTATCCCTAGATCACTCGTAGTCTGCTCTCTGTGCCTCCTGGTCTGCTGAGCTGTGAGGACCCCTGCCACACACAGCTCCTCCAAGGAGCGCTTCCACTCTCTAGTAGTCACTTTTCTGTTGCTGTGATAGAAATACTGACCAAAGCAACTTATAGAAGGAAGAATTTATTTGAGCTTACTGTTCCAAGGGACAAGGGTCCATTCTGGTGGGAAGGCATGGTGGCCGAGGTGGCTGGAGGGGAAAGAGATGCTAAGCTCTACATCTTCAAGTGGGCACAGGAAGCAAGAGAGTGACTGGAGATCTGGCAAGGCTTAAGAACTCCTAAGCCCGCCCCCAGTGCTTCCTCCAGGATAGCCACACCTTCTAAGACCTCCCAAAACAGCACCACCAACTGGGGACAAAACGCCCAAATACTTGGAGCTTCTGGGGGACATTATCATTCAAACCACCACACATGCCTTCCCAGACATTTGTTCTCTCAGTCTCTTAGACAAAATAAATCCTCTCTGAAGTTGCTCCTTTTCAGGTATTTGATCACAACGGTGAGAAAAGTAACTAATGCACTCCATAGGACCTAGACCACAGTTCTTTGCTGCCCTTGCATTGGTTGGGTGAGGTTAGGAATAAAGTGAGTACATTCTCTGAATAAATAAATAAAATGCCACATAAAAATGTCCACAAGCTTCTTTCCTCCTTCAGACTCTGGAAATGATGGTGACTGGTAAGGATTTAGACATCAGTGTAAAGATAGCAGAGCGGCTTCATCATCCAGAATCCCAAAAAACTCAGGAGGAAGAACCCCTACCCAGGTCACATCACAGTCATCTTTACCCTACTTGACACCCTTCTTCCACAGCCTCAAACCCTCGGCCTGGATTGTGCAAGGAAAATATTCTGACACATTTGAGTCACTGTTCTCTGGATCTCTTAACAACAGCATCACCTACCTCAGTTCTCTCTTTCTTTTTCCCATTGAGGTCAGACTCCAGAAGAAAACAGCAATCAATACAAGTGATAAAAAATAACAGGGAAAAATGACAGCCAAATGTTTGTCACAAACATCTTTTAACCCACTTAATTACAGGAAAAGCGTTGATTCCCTACACATTCTAACAACAGAAGTACAGTGCAGCATGTCTTTTTAAATTTTTTTCCCTCAAGGAGTCCCAGGTGTAAAATTTAAAGTATCAAAGCTGCACAGTATAAAAAGATCCTGCTCGAACTTTCTCACCTGGCCAACAAAAGCTCTACTGAAGACTATCAATAGAACTAAGCCTTGGGCAAGGGGACAGTAGGAAAGCTGAAGAAAACCTAATGAATTAAGCAATCTGAGTATTTGGCTGTGGGGAGTGCTGCTAGTAATCTACACAAGACCCCCTATCCACTTGCTGATAAATTCATCAGATTTATTTCTTCTTCAACAGTAATGATAGCTGATAGGTAAAAGTAGCCATATGATGAATAGGGTTGATCAGGAGAAAGCACCAGCATAAAACTCCATCAGAATACTTTATTAGCAAAGGAACACATGGGACAGATTCCCTTCTGGGCAGGGAAAATGTCTGCCCGGGGTTGTGAGCTGGGGTCTTTTTATACGGGAGGCTTCTGCTACCCGCAAGAAGCGGGAAGATATATTTTTTAAAGTTGGGTGGGGGGGGGACGAGAGAGAGAGAGAGAGAGAGAGAGAGAGAGAGAGAGACAACCTGTTAAAACCTGCCCTCTTTAGAGATCAAAGGGGAAGCTTATCAACTGGGTTCCCTTTTCTCAGGGACTTGTGAGGTCCCTGAGGCCCTGTTGGTGAGGGGGTGGGGCTATCTGAACCTTAACAGTAGCCTGACCAAATACAAGGATTTTTATTGAGGACAGGTACCCCCACATTGGGCTCTCTTAATCCCTAAATGCTTTCCTGTCTTGGGCCTTCCTCTCTGTGAGCTATGGCAACATTCACAAGACCTGTGTCAGAAAAGATCTCCCACCTGTACATGCTGAAGACTGTGTTGCCATTGTGCATAAGGTACACGTACACCTCCTCAACATCCTCATGCTTCATCATGCTGAAGGTGAAGAAATACACACCTGGGAAGGGCAAAGAGTTAACCACTCAGTTATACACGCTGAAAAGGGCACAGGCACAGGCGTAAGATAGGTGGTTTAATGCTTCTTTTTGTTAGATTCTGAGCACTGTGTAGTTTCTTTTGACCTGTTTATACAGGTGTGAGAGAAAGTTCCCAGAAGGACTCCTGCATCTTGGGCTGAACTTCCTGTAAGGCTCACCAACTGATTAGCACTCCGGAGATTGTGGAGAGTCTGGAATGTTGCAGATCCCAAGCCTATTCACAGATTATCTGGGCCAAACATTGCCTACCTCTGTTTCTGAATTAACATTCTCGGGGCTAATAAAATGCATTAACTTATTAGACCACCAGGTCTCACCAATCAAAAAGCTAAAAATGTCATCAGAAAGCATCTGAAACCTATAGTAGAAAACCCCTCACTTTGCAATGACCTGCCTACTTAATGTATCCACCAATGTATTTGAAAAGTGTCTTGATTTATTACTTTTCTTTGTTCTGTTACTATAAAAGTGTAATGCAACTGTTACCACACTGGAACATGAAGTTTAGGGTAACCTGAATCTGTGTTCCCTGGCCGTGATAACTCATATCTGGCTCCAGAATAAACTATCTCTTATCCCCTTTGAGGTGAGAGTTATGCTTTTGCATCGACACGAGTGTCCCTCCATCTGCTCACCTTCAAATTGCTTTAATTTTTTTTTTTTACTTTCTCATTGTTTTCCCTGCTTATCCTTAATGACAAAGTCATTAAGGAAATGAGCCAAATATGAAATTAAAATGAACGACTACACTCCCCAAATATTAGCCAAGATAATAAAATACTGGAGCACAGAATAAATGTCTCATAGTTCTAAAGAAATAGTTCTGGTAGTTTCTCATGTCATTCATTGTAAATCAGTAAAATAATGTATAATAAATTAAAAGATCCAACTTTGACTCAATCTTGTTACTAAAAAGTACATTTTTCCTTATATGAAAAAAAAATTAAAAGTTGTGTGTTCTTACAAGAGCCCTGGGCTCCTAGTGGAGAGTGATTCTGTATAACCTGAACTCCAACATAAAATATACTTTCATTGAATGATTAAGAAGACTCTAACAGCATACAGGCAAAGCAAAGAAACTTCCCAACTTCAAATGATGCTGGATTTGGGAGTGTAGTTTAGAATGGTGAACATAAGTCATCAAAGTGTTGCAGATTTCCAAGTTACATTTTTTAACTAATAGTTTTTAAATATTTTATTATTTTTATGTGTATTAACTAATAGTTTTACAAGAGAAAACCCCAGAAATTTCTGCAAAGGAAAAGGGAAAGAAGCACTGGACTGTTCTATTTCTTTTCAATCAAGATACACACTGTAAGGGTGCTGTGTTTCTCTTCATACTGCATGAAGTCAAATCAAATGAATAGTTATGTTTTTTCACTGCTGGGGATGCATATCAATGTGTTTCTCACACAGAACATGTATGAAAATCAGTCATGTCCATTCATATACCAAGGGACTGACTCACAGATGAAAAGCAAAGATAGATGAACATTAAATGACTTAAAGAAATAATTTTGTGCTGGAGAGATGGCTCAGAGGTTAAGGGCACTGGCTATTCTTGCAGAAGATCGGGGTTTGAATCCCAGCACCCACATGGCAGCTAACAACTGTCAGTAACTCCAGTTCCAGGAGATCCGACAGTCTCTTCTGTCCTCCGTGGGTATTGCATGACAGGGGTGCACTTACACACATGCAGGCAATACACAGATACACATAAAATGAAAAAACTTTTTAAAAAAAGAAATAATTTGTATGTATTTAGCTTTTTGTTTTTTAACTTTTCGTTTTATATACACATATACAACATCTTTCAGTGCCTCGGGAAGATAAAACTAGAATCAAAACAACAGGAAAATATACTGGTTTTCTTTTTTAAAATGATACTAGAAAAAGATTGCAGAAACTGTTTAGAATGAGGAGACTAAGAAACCAGATGGTAAATAATAAAATTCTTAGAATTAGAAATACAGAACTGAACCTATATTGTATCGCAGCTTCATCTACAAGAAAATAAGAGGCTGGGTGCTTACAGAACAGCTTTCAGTGCATTGTGTTGGTGTAATTGAAAATAACAGCTTCTCTATCTTATCAGTCCCAGAGACTGGGAAAGATGAAATCATCATTTATAATCACTGACAAGGTTAAGAATGAACAATTAGGTATATGAAATCAAATAATTGTTATCATCATAATAGTTTCCAGCCAAGAGAGCTCAAAAGGACTCTTTATAGTTTGATTTTAAAGTTCTTGAACTCAGCAGAACCACTGACCAGGTGTGAACAGGCACTTGTCTGGGGCAACAGAATCATTGCAGGACCATTATAAACCTTCGGAGCCAAAAAAAAAAAATCACAAAAGTATGTTTAAAGATGAAGTGTGATGGAAGATTGCCTCTGCTGTTTCCTACGTTATGTCATTTCTCACTTAAACTGGGTAGAGTAAACCAAAGCACACATTAAAAATCATGTGTGTAAATTTAATATGGCTACCATGTTCATCCAAATTTTCTCTTTTTTGCTTATACATGCCATGTAGAGGAACAAAGAAAACTGAAAAACAGAAGTTGAAAAAGCGTTCTATGTAGAACTAGGACACTAAAAAAAAAATCAATAAACTTCAAATACACGCAGGTGCTGCCAAATTCAACTGGGGACTGAGTGGGGTTTCTGAGAAGAGGTGGCAGCTGATCTCAAACCACGCCAGGAAAAATAAATTCCCCGATGGCAAAGGTCACTGTGAAGTGCAAATGCTGATAAGAAGCGCCTGCGAACAGGGCTGAAAGAGGCAAAGGCCATGTCTCAGGGGAACTTTGGTAGAAATAGCATAGACTATAAAAGCAGTTCAAGGGATTGGAGAGATGGTTCAGCAGTTAAGAACACTGGCTGCTCTTGCAGAGGTCCCGGGTTCGAATCCCAGCACCCACAGGACAACCAACAACCGTCAGTAACTCTAGTTCCAGGGGATACAACACCGTCTTCTGACCTCTGCAGGTGCTGCACGACATAGGTACACTTACATACATGCAGGCAATACACTCATGCACATAAAATAATTTTAAAATATTTTTTTTTTAAAAAGCAGTTTTAGAGTGGCAGATCTCAGAATCTGCCAGCAAAAACAAGGTTCCTAAAGGCTAGAGAATTTTCTAGTACAAACCTGGCTCCAGAAGTCTTCCTAGGAAAGAGTGGAAAAGCAGAGGAATTGCAGTCACACAGGATAAATACACAGAAGAGCCATACTTAGAAGACTCAGTCAGTTCCCTGGCTGCAGAAGAGGCATTGAAATATCAAGCATTCAAGGCTGCCTGGGTCCCTTCCCTAAAAATACTACTGTATCTATCATATAACTGGTCTAGGAAAACCCAGCTCATTCAGTCATCTGTTAATTTTAACAAGTAGGAAAGTACAGCGAGAGTTGCCCTAATGGATGAATAGTTAACAAAAGGAAATGTTGCCAAATATTTTATCATCCTGAGTTATAGAAACAATGATGAAGCAAGTGTCACTGTTATAAACCAGAATTCAAGAACTCATAGTAGAAATGGCCAGACTAGATGGGGAGCTAAAAATTGAGGCATCAGGAAAACCTGATTATATTAGTTATTTTCTTCATTGCTGCAACCAAATACCTGACAGGAAACAAGGGAAGAGAAGGAAGGTCTATGTTGGCTTACAGTTTAAGAAGGAATACAGTCCATGTGGATAATACTGCCAAGCTCTGTATATATATTTTTAATATAGTCTGGCCTCCCTTGGATCACATCTGCAGTAGCTTCTGTGTACTTCAAGACTGACCATGGGAGAAGATACTTCCCTGGGTGGCCATTTTGGAGGAAGACCCCATTTAGTAGCATTGTCAGTTCAGGAGCTTCCCTTTCAAGTTTATAGTTCCCAAAAGTTGGAACCTTTGATGGGTGGTACCTTGAGCCCTCAGAAAACTTTGCCTGCTGTCCCATTGCAGAATGTCAAGTTTCTTTTTCATGGTGATAACCACTTTATATATTTCACTTATTATTTTTATTTTATGTGTATGAGGGTATTGTCTGCATGTATGTAAGTGCACCCCTGTTGTGCAATGCCTGTGATGGTCAGAAGAGGATGTTGGGTTCCCTGGAAGTGGAGTTATGGATGGTTGTTAGCTGCCATGTGGTGGTAGGAATCAAACCCGGTCCTCTGCAAGAGCAGCCAATGCTCTTAATTGCTAAGCCATCTCTCTAACCCCATGAAAATCTATTTAATAATTATAAACTTGTATGTAACTTTAAGCTCACTAACACTCATTTCCTTGTTAAACTTCAAATTTTTCATACCTTTCTGTTCTGCTTTTTGTTCTCTCTCTCTCTCTCTCTCTCTCTCTCTCTCTCTCTCTCTCTCATTGTAGAGCTGAGTAAGAGCAGTAAGTAGTAATCAGGACATATCCCAAATGCTGTCTTCTCTTGAAATTTTTTCTACCAAAGAAATTAGTCTATTACTTTTTAATCCAGCCTCACTGGGGTTCCCGGCCAGATTCTTTGCCACATAATGTGAATGACCTCTGGCCCACTTCCTGATAGTTCTTGGTCCCCTCTGAAGCCTCATGAGCTATGCCTCCACTGTCGACATTTCTGTCACATAATGTTTCTGAACTCCCACCAAAATGACCCAGTGAGTTCTGCTTACAGTAGTCTAGGTTTTTCTACCCTGAAGTTTCAGACTTTCAACAGTCCTGAAAATCAGTTCCAAAGGCCTAAAAACCAAAATGGCTAAGGCTTATCACAATAGCGGCCCCACTTCTTGATACTAATACTCTGCAGTAAATTTTCTCATTGCTGTGACCTAACATCCAGCAAAAAACAAGGGAGGAAGGATTTATTTTGGCTTATAGCGTAGGAAAGGATATAGCCCATGATGACTTGGAAAGCTGGGCATCAAGAGGATGAGGCCACACTGTGTCTATGGTCAGGCTGTATCGAGCATACAGGAAGTGGAGGAAGACTATAAAATGTTAAAGCCTGTCTTTAGTGACTCACTTCCTTCAGGAAGACCTGAAGGTTCCACAACCTTCAAAACAGCACCACCAGTGCGGACAAGTGTTCAAACATATAAGCATTGGTGGACATTTCATTCAAACCACAACACTAGTGAATTCTGAATAAATTCCCAATTTAGGGACAGAGCTGTACCCAGTGGGTTTCCTCATTTATCAACAGTTTTTGTTTATATTAAATGTAAACACTAGGGAGCTCATAAAAGTATGAAAACTTTGCATTCTTTTTGTAACTCTTTTGTTTTGTTTTTGTTTTTTTATCAGTCAATTGCCCAGACATTTCAAATCACACTTTGTTGATGAAGTCATAGGAAATAAGTGCTTCCATATATTGACAAGGAGGAACATACTGATGCCACCCTTACAGAGAGTAACCTAGTAAAACTGATCAAACTTATTTATAGATACTTTTCCTCGTGGACTTAGTGATTCAGTTTCTGCGACTTTAGCCTAGAGATACACCTATATGTGTTCAATTACGAAGCAGCACATTAAGGTTTAATGACTGAAGTACAATGCCCTTGGAGGACAGAAGAGGACATCAGATCCCCTGGAACTGGAGTTACAGACAGTTGTTAGCTGCCATGTGGGATTCGAACTTGGGTCTTCTGCAAGAACAGCCAGTGTTCTTAACTGCTGAGCTATCTCTCCAGCCCCTTAATTTATTTTTAATAGCAAAATGTGGAAACAATCCAAAAGTCC